GAGGCTGTCCATTTAGGGAGGAAGGAGTGGGTGGGTGGTAGTAGGAGAGGCAGAAGATGCTAAGGGTTGGGGATCCAGGACCCAGCCCCAGCAGGGGTGGTTTGGGGGAGGTGGTGGGGAATCGGAAGCTGATCGCCTTCGGGGCGGTGCTGGGGTGGCTCCTGGTCGTGCACTTGCTGGTCAACATTTGGCTGCTCTGCATCCTTTCAGGGTTGCTGGCGCTGTTGGGTGGGTGGCTTGGCTCCCGGGCCGTGATGGAGACTGGCCGCCGCGTTCACCTGGAGAGGTTCCTCCTCCTGGAACGCTGCCCGCCCAGCCCCGAGGCGGAAAAGCAGCTGGACGAGGAGATCGAGAGCATGATCCGGAAGATCCTTCGGGATTTTGTGTCTTCCTGGTATCGGGCGGTGACCCCCCAGCGGGGTTTCGAGGTCCAAGTGGAGAACGCCATGATGGCCTTGGCCATGGAGCTCAAAAGGAGAATGGCGCTGGTGGACAAGCGGGCGTTGACCCAGAAGGTGCTCCTCCTCGGGGGTTGCCACCTGCAGACCTACAAGAAAGCCCGGGAAAGGGTGGCCGGGATGGGTGACCCTGGAGACCAGACTCCAGAGGCTGAGCACCTGTGGCGAGCATACTCTGACTTGTGGGGACCACACATGGCTGTTCAGAGTCCCGGCCACGAGGTGGATTATGCCCGGCGCATTGTGGACCTGCTGCTCCACGTTTTGGTGCCTCGGCCGCACTTGGAAACGAGGACGGGCCGCTTTGTAGTGGTGGAGCTGGTGACTTGCAACGTGCTGCTGCCCATGATTAACAAAATGTCGGACCCCGATTGGCTCAACCTGCTGTTGATCGCCATCGTTTCCAAGATCAGTGGTAAAGAAGCTGGAGAGAAAGAGACAATGGAGATGCTAACAGCGGGAGCAGACCCTTCCCAGCCCCAAGCGGTGGCCCCTGATTCTTTGCCCCTGGTGTCGCAGGTGGAAGCTGCCCCGGAGGTCAAGGCATTATCTCCAAGGAGTTCTGAGCCTTTGGTGGGTGATGGACCAGATGGTTTGGAATGCCACGGCTTCGAAGGGAGAGAACCTATGAGCAGAGAACTGAGTGCTGAAATGGATAGAGGGAGAGCCAGTAGCATCTCTGCCCCCTGTCTTCAGCCGGATACCTTGGGATCCTTCTTCCCCTGTGAAGACTTTGACATTGAGTCTCCCGTGTGTGATGTAGGGAAGGATTCTGCTTCCACAGGCCTCGTGCGGCCGGAGGAGTTCCTTGTTGACTCCCTCAGTGCTCTGGCAGGGCCGGACGGCTTAGATCAAGAGGATGGTCAGGGAATCCGAGCCAGGTGCTTGGAGGACTGTGTCAACCCTGGCCTTGAAACGGCTCTGCGGGTGGCCTCCGTGAGCCCCTGCCCGGACATCCAGATTGAGCCTGCAGCGGAAGACGAGGTGACCGTGGCCTCCTTAACAGCCCTTTTGGAGAACTCGGAGAAGATGTTCTTGAGGCGGCCGTCCTGCTTGGAGAAAGAGTCGGGACCTTCTGACACCTTGGCCCGCGGCCCTCAGGATCTGGGTCAGCTGCCGAGCTTGCTCCCTTCCTCCCCCACCGCCCCCATGGGCACTTTCAGCTTTGAACCCCTGAGTAGCCCAGACGGCCCCATCATCATCCAGAATCTGCGGATAACGGGCACCATCACTGCCAAGGAGCACAGCGGAACAGGGTTCCACCCTTACACCTTGTATACTGTGAAGGTAAACTGGGTCCTTTGTCTCTCTTTGTTGCAAACGAGTAGACTGCAGGTTGAATATGTTTGCCCATTGTAGAAAAGGTGGGTGAATATGAGTATAGATTCATGTCTTGACGCATCTCGAAGGACCATAACGTGGAGCTGCAGAACATTTTAGGTCTATAGATTTTTTTTTGTTCTGGAACTCCCAGGAGCAGGGGTGAAGGATGATAGAAATTGCAGTTCATCAACTTCTCTCCCTGCAGTAGATGTTTATCTGGTCCTTCTGAGTAACGGACATCCTTTTTTCCTACAGTATGAGACAACGTTAGACAGCGACAACACTAGCGCTCTCCAGCAAGTGGCTTACCACACTGTGAATCGGAGGTACCGAGAATTTTTGAACTTGCAGACCAGACTGGAGGAGAAGCCGGAGCTACGGAAGTTCATAAAAAGTGAGTCCTGAATCTTACTTTCTGAAGGATTAAAAAAAAAATAGCCTATGGAGCTTCCACTGAGCAGAAAGTCCTACCAGAGGAGTAATATGGGATTGCTTTGCCTAAGTCTTACTGTTGCACAAGCAGATGGTGGGTCATCTTCATGGAGATCACCATGCGCAGAACAATAATGCTTGAGTAGAGAAGGCACAGTTCACTACTACTATGGCTGGACTTTGTGATTAGAAGAAGCTCAGGAGGACACTACCCATAATGTCCACTCAGCAGTCTGTGGATTTCAGTGAGACTTTTCCCTACATAAATGACTATAGGTTTACCCCCTCCCTTTCTTTTCTTCCTCTCCTCTCATCCACATGTATCATTTCCATGTTTTTTCCAGTTAGCTTGGTTATCAACATGCACTTCCTTTAATGTCCTTCCTTTAATGTCTTTAATTTTAGTATTGATATTTTCATGAGCAAGTTGGCTATAGAAATGACTATAGGTTTACATCCTCCCTTTCTTTTCTTCCTCTCCTCCACATGTATCATTTCCATGTTTTTTCCAGTTAGCTTGGTTATCTACGTGCACTTCCTTTAATGTCCTTCCTTTAATATCTTTAATTTTAGTATTGATATTTTCATGAGCAAGTTGGCTGTAGATCAGGGGTGGGCAATTAATTTCTATAGGGGGCCACATGAAAAATCTGAACTGTGTTCGGGGGCCGAACCAGAAACCCCTGGCACTGAGCTAACTCACCTGTCCTCCGTTCCCCCACGGCCTTCCTCTCCGACTGTCTTCTATCCCTCTCAGGCGACGTGATGCTGACCTCTTGAGCCGCAGGCTTCATCACATCGCCTGTGCAAGGATCGCTTCTGACCTCTTGAGCCGCAGTGGGCAGGCCGGACAGGAGTGGCGATGGGCGGGCCGGACTGGAGCGACAGCCAGTGGGCCGAACAGAAGTGGCTTGGCGGACCGTATGTGGCCCGCGGGCTGTACCGCAGTGGGCAGGCCGGACAGGAGTGGCGACAGGCGGGCCGGACTGGAGCGACAACCAGTGGGCTGAACAGAAGTGGCTTGCGGACCGTATGTGGCCCGCGGGCCGTATTTTGCCTAGGTCTGCTGTAGATAATACCTACTTGACATCTGGGATATTACCCACATCCCCCTGCTGAAGGGAATCAAGGACATTGTTTTTCCTAAAGAAATACAAAGCTTTTTGGTTAGCAATATTGCTTTTTGGAGTTGTTTTCTAGGGAGGAGAAGGACTAGCCATGTTCTCCTCTGTTGTGGCGGAAACAGCCATGTCTTGGAACACCTTGAAAAGGCTATAAAGGTTTATTTGGCAAAAAGCTTTTTGTGCACAGAGGCAGGCTTGTGAATCTGGTGACTGATGTTGTGCTTCACTTGACAGGTGACATGGGCTTCCCATCCTCAAACCTTGTGCTGATAAAACTTTCGAGTCTTAAAGTGCCTCCGGGTTTATGTCTTGCTTTCTTGTTTACAGCAGGGCCCCCTTATCTAAAGGATCAGTCTCTGCTGATTCATTTATCCATGGTCTGAAACTATGAAAATTATTAAAAGAAAAAGCCTAGAAATACAGATTTCTAAAGATGAAGTTACCAGAACTGGCCACTATAAGGAGCCAGAGACCATGCTGTGTATATAGCATTTGCTGCTAAAATAGTGTTTGCTAGAGTCAGTGTTTTCCAGCATCCACGGGGAATCTTGGAGCTGTTCCCCCGCAGATCTGGAGGTCCTTCTGCAATGCTGTTGTTTGTAACAGTGTTTTGTACATGGCTGTATTTTTGCTACTTTAAACTTTGTAGGGGAATCTGATATATGGAAGTTTTAATAAATACGGATAAGAGAAAAATGACATGAGAAATCAAGTAGTGAAGTTCTCCTTTTTTAACATTTTATTTTATTTCCAGATATTAAAGGTCCAAAGAAGCTTTTTCCTGATCTACCCTTCGGTAATATGGACACCGAGAAAGTAGAAGCCAGAAAAAGCCTTTTGGAGTCGTTTTTGAAGGTGAGGGTCTTAAATTTGATGTGTCAGTTTATCCTACAAAGGTGACTTTGTCAACGCAGCTCATTTAAAGAATAAATACCAAAGGCACCAAGGTAATAAAAGGTATGGACAGAAATTGAGCTCCCCCACTGCAGTAGTGCTGGGGGCAGCGGGTGACTATGCAGTGGGACCGATCCCAGCGCAACTACTGGGAAGGCAGTTGTTTGTGGATCATTTGTATTTAGACCCTAGTTTTGTTGCAAAGAGAGCATGATCCTGTACCTGTTTTTTCTTCCCCCCATTTCCCCCTCCGAACAACCTGCGGGTTCGTTAGGCTGAGAAACGGGCAGACCTGAAGCCACCCAGAGAGTTTCTCATCATATGGACCATAGAAGCGGGACCTCCTGAGTCACTCTCTAGCACTCTAACTACTGGACCACATTGCTTTTCTTTCTTTCTTTCTTTCTTTCTTTCTTTCTTTCTTTCTTTCTTTCTTTCTTTCTTTCTTTCTTTCTTTCTTCACGGCCAAAGAGCCCAAAAAAACCCACAACAACCAACCTTATATTAGTCTGATTTTGCATTCTTTTCTGTTCTTCCGTCTTTTTGCTGCAGCCGGAGGTTAGTTCTGCTCCACTGCTTTAAAGCTAATCCTTTACTGCTGGTCAACATATTTTCTTTTCATTCATTTAATAAATAAAACTTCCAAAGCAAACCTAAACCTTATTTAAAATCAGAACAAGCTGAATTATAACTGTGTTCCTTCCTTCCTTCCTTCCTTCCTTCCTTCCTTCCTTCCTTCCTTCCTTCCTTAAGGTTTAATTTCTTTCTTCCCCCCTCCCTTTCTCTTTTTGGATTAAATTTGTTGACCCAGAGTTCTGGCAGGAAATACCCTTGATTGGGTGGAGCTGTTGTTAACCCTAGTTAACAGGCCCCCTCCTCTTCCGGCATGCACCTACTCAGAGCTAGTGTAGCTCAGTGGGTTGGAATGTTTGGTTGTGGAGCCAGAAGTTGGGAGTTTGAGTCCCCACGACACCTCCAGGGCCAGCTGGCATGGCCAAATGTGGCTGATGGGCTTAGGTCTCCTGTGACCCAGGCAGCCTTGGGTCAAGCTGCATGGCCTCAAAGCACCCCCAAAAGGAAGGACTTGGAATCTGCTTCCGAGCGCTTTGTACCTAGGCACTCCTAAAAGCATTGCAGTAAGTTGGGGATCCCCTGCATGGCACGTGGTCAATAATTCATTTGGGCGGGCTCCTTTTTTCTTGTTCTAGCAATTGTGTGCCATTCCTGAGATTGCCAACAGTGATGAGATGCAGGAATTCCTGGCCTTGAACACAGATGCCAGGATTGCCTTTGTCAAAAAGCCCTTCGTAGTCTCCAGGATTGACAAGGTATGTGCACATAACGGAAAGCTCCTTTGCAAAGCCTAGCCTATTAAGTTAATTGCCAACATTCTATCAGAGTGAAGTGTAACCACCAAGGTACACTAACCAGGGTGGAGCCACGCGGAGGGCAGCCGACCCTTCATTTGCATTGGCTCCCGATGAGTTTAGTGTGGCTTGCCAGTTTGAGTCTTTGAACATCTCCTGAATTGAAGGTCCTCCCTCCTAGGTTCCGTAGACCTTATTTCTGGAAATGTGTACTGTCGTTGGTTGAGTGGATTTCTTGCAGCCTGGAAACACCTTTGTGTGTGTGTGTGTGTGCATGTCCGTCCGTACAGATCCTGACTTTCAGGCCTGTTAGTGGACACTGAGAGCAGATGTCTAACCCCCCACTTTTTACCGATGATTTTTTTTAAAAAGGGTTGGGCGTATTTGTCCTGGAGCAGAGGTTACTAAACGGGGGACGCAAGAGTCTTCAGATATCTGAAGGAGCATCACACAGAGCAGATCAACCCAACTTTGGGTCTCTTGCTTTACATGGCAAGACTGGAGCCAGTGGGTGGACATTGCAGAGCAGTGGGTGCTGGTCAAGCAGTAGGAGGGATTTTCTAGTACAAAGAAGTGCCTGACAGTGGAGCCGGCTGCCTTGGGGGATGATGGGTGCTCTTTCCCTGGACATACTGGAGTGGAAGCTCTGACGTGTCAGATATTCTGTGGCTGAATCACGCGTTGCAGAGTCTGTGTTGAGCTGGGATTGGATTAAATGGCTCCTGAGTTTTGCCCAACTCTGTTCTTGCGCTTTCTCCACTAGGAGTAAATTCAGCCTTTATATCAAAGCAAAGCTGTCATTTGATTTATTCGCGAAGGCTGTCGTTTGACATGACTTTGCAGAGAAGGCAAGACAAGACTTGTTCACCCCTTCCATAAAGATCTCAGCCTTCTTCCTTCAGCTAGTGTAACACCTGTCGGATTTCTATCGTTTGCAGATGTTTCCACCAAGTAGACATCCTACCCAGCATAAGCTGGTGTCGGTTTTTAGTGTCTCGTGTTTTGTATTCTACAGACTTCTCTTTACCTGCTGCTGAAATTCACCCTCTTCTCCTGCTGCAGATCGTGATGAACGCCATCGTGGATACATTAAAAACGGCCTTCCCCAAATCCGAGCCTCAGAGCCCTACAGAGGATCTGAGCGAGGCAGAGACGGAAGGGAAGTTGCAGACAGACGGAAAGAGGACTAGCAAGTAAGCCTCTTGTTGAGCGGCGTTCTTGTGTTCGGCCCCAAGTAGACACAGCACAGTTCACGCAGCTAGTCATTGTGTGTGTGGCTTTTTGAACTTGGGTTCCGGATACAGAACTGGGTCCTGGTTGTGATTGTCGGGACCGAGATGGCCACCCCTCACTGAGGTTTTGATCTGGCTCCATGCCCTGAGATGCAGTGATGATGTCCAGATGTAGATGGAACTTCCTAAATAATCCACTGCTGGCTGGATAGCTCAATGAGTTAGGAATCTGGCTGCAGAGATAGAGGTTGGAAGTTCGATTCCACCCCAAGAACTGGGTCCTGGTTGTGATTGTCGGGACCGAGATGGCCACCCCTCACTGAGGTTTTGATCTGGCTCCATGCCCTGAGATGCAGTGATGATGTCCAGATGTAGATGGAACTTCCTAAATAATCCACTGCTGGCTGGATAGCTCAATGAGTTAGGAATCTGGCTGCAGAGATAGAGGTTGGGAGTTCGATTCCACCCCCTGTACATCTCAGAACAGTCAGACTGTGCAGGCTTGAGCAAGCTACACAGTCCTGGGGCACCCCCAGATGAAGGAAATGTTAAACCAGTTCTGAGTACACTCTACCTAGAAGACCATGGAAAGGGTCAGAAATGACTTGATGCCACACCAATACTCCACGGATAGAAGTGTCAGAACTTTTCATGCTCTTAAGAACAGTGACTTAAATCTACTTCATTTAGTTCCAGGTCTACTGGACTCACTGAATCAATGGAACATGTATGGGTTCTTGACTTGACCAGTCTACCTTTGAGTCAGCGGGTCTATGCTCATTGAGACTGACAATTTGATTAATGCCTGGATGTGGATATCCCATCCGTAGAGTCTTATGTTTACTGCAGATTGTCTCACGCAACTGCCCCTGGGGTCTTGAACACTGGACCAGTAACATATAATCTCGGGAAGCTCCTGCTCAGCCGGGAAAGCATCCAGTCAGGCCTCAGAGGCAAACTGTGTGTCTTTTGTCTGAGGACTGGTCTAGTTAAGAATCTAGAGACTCATTAGTACAAGAATGTCCACTGGGTGACATTATGGGAGGAAAGTCCCAAACACTCCGTAGTAACATGTGGAACAATTTATTTGGGTACATTTACGTCACTTATTTTATGTGCAGTAGTATTGATAAAAAAGCTGTATCAACGTTTGGTTATATCTGGATCCAGAATTAAAAGCATTAGTGAGGCAGTTACCAATATCAAAAGACAGGAGAGAGAATGATGGCATACTTTGTTAATGTTGTTTATATTTAGTTTGTAGAAGTTGATGATATGGTAATCCATGTGAACAAAACAGCTAAGAAAGCATTTAAAATGGTAAAAAGAAAATTGATCATAGCAGTGATTGGATCATGTGATTTTGGGTTTGTAGAAGGACTACTGTATATGTGTCATTGAAGTCAAAGCTCTTATATCTGTGTGTGTTTATACATACACATATTCATATTCATATGCATGTACAGTGGTGCCTCGCAAGACGAGTGCCCCATTTAACGATGAAATCGCATTACGACATTTTTTGTGATCACAAAAGCGATTGCTTTACAATGGTTTCAATGGGGGAATTTCGCTTTGCGATGATCGGTTCCCTGCTTCGAGAACTGATTCTCGCAAAACGACGATTTTTGGCAAGCTGATTAGCGGTTTCAAAATGGCCTCCAGGTTAAAAAAAATGGCTCCCTGCTCTTTTCTGGGACGGATTCCTCACTGCACGGGCAGCGAAAATGGCCGCGCTATGGAGGATCTTCGCTGGACGGTGAGTTTCAAGCCCATAGGAATGCATTAATCGGGTTTTAATGCGTTTCTATGGGCTTTTTAATTTCACATTACGTTTTCGTTCTACAGCGATTTCGGTGGAACGAATTAACATCGTAATGTGAGGCACCACTGCCTACAAGCCCATTTAAGTTTGGTCCTAAAAGTACATAATGAGTTTGACTGTTGGACAAAACTACCGTAGTATATATCACTTGCAGTTTGTCTAACATTCTTGCAATAGATTACCAGCTATGGAAGATCTTGGGATAAGAGAGATAATGGTAAAGTAATCTTCATGAACTACCACTACCATGGCTGTTCTCAATTCCTGCCTTTCTAGTTAATATGGATGACTATTCAGTGGATGCTGGTGTACAGAGCATATATTGACAAAAGTGAACAAACAGGAACCATGTTTCCGTGAATCTTTATTTCTGTCCTAAACTGTCCCATTAATTAAATCTGTTCGGCGGTCTTGCTAGGTCTAGTGTATGAGCATCCACCCGATGTATTGTATATCCTACATGAGTTTTTCAGTGGTTTTTCATTGGTTTGTCCTTTGTGTGCCCAGTAATATCAACACAAGATCCTTTGGCACGTACTGCTTCTCTGTGATGTCACAAATGGGTAAACTAGATAGGCTGGAGAATAAAACACAGCAGCGTTAACCTGGGATGTGTAGTCGAAAATAGAGACTTGAGTATCCAGTGAGAGCTGTCGTCAAGCGAGATGCATGATGTGTGAAGCGGCCTTGGATCGGATGACGGAGATGGGAAAGGGGTGGGTATAGGGTTCTGAGTGTTGCAGTAACACAACAGCAACAGCTTTCCCCATCTCTGCAGAGGAAGATAAATGAATCTTTCATACATAGTAATACCAGGGTTTCTCTTCTACAGGCCTAGGTTGAGGTTCGCCTCCAGTAAAATAGCTCCGGTTCTGACCGTAGCCGAGACACAAGAGAAGGTTGCGTATTCTTTCCGGGAAGGCACTACGGTAAGTGGGACCACGTCAGTCACCACACTGCCATCCACACCCCCAGATGAGCCACTGAATTGCTGTGGGAGTTAGCACCTGGCTATCTTTCTGACCCCCTTTTGCTCTGGTGCACCAGGAAAGGCTGAAGAAGGGACAACAGTTCCGTGGGTCGCATACAGAAGATGCAGTCCCGGACATCTCCGGGTAGACTTGACTGAAGTCATTGGTTCTATTGTTGAACTACTCTTAACAGTTACGTTTTTCCTGATATTCAGCCTCAATCTGGCATCTTGTAGCTTGAGCCCATTGTTGCGTGTCCTGTACTTTGAGATGATTGAGAACAGATCCTGCCCCTCCTCTGTATGTCTGCTTTTCAAGTATTTGTAATGTGCTGTCCGATCTCCCCTCAGTCTTCTTTTCTCAAAGCTAAACATGCCTGGTTCTTTCCGTGTTTCCTCATAGGGCTACTGTCCCAAAGCAAGGGTCTTTACTCAGAACCGAGTGGCTTCTTACATTCTTGTGTTGCTGATGGATCCTTCCCTTCTCTTAGGTCTTGGACTTCCTGTCCTTAGCTGGAATGGAGTCTTTCATTCAGAAGCAGGGAAAACTCCTGGGGGCAGTCTTCTCTGAGAGCTCAGAGAGCGAAGGAGATGAAGCTCCTGTAGCCCCAGAATGTGCCTCAGATTGGGACCTGAAGCCCTCTGAGGTACCCCAGCAAGCAACAGAAGGCAGTGGAGATCCTGGTAAGTGCCACTGCCAGTTCAGATATGAGTTCCTCTTCAGTTTAGCCCATGTGCTTCCTTAACCTTCATTCATAAAATTCAGCTCTTGGTGGGTAGTTGATAAATTGGAAGAAAAAGTGGGCTGCGCTGTCTTTCTTTATTCCCTGAAAGTAAATCATCCCTTTGTCCTGCAATTGTAACATCTTATCAGGATATACTCCAGGCCTGGAGCCATTGAAAATATCCAGCCTTGTAGCCGGTCTCCGTACGGTTCCATTGTCTTCTACTTTGGCCAAGGCCTTCTTGCCACAACAATCTGGTCTTTGTCTATTTTGCTCATTCCGTTATGCAGAAATCCAGGCTGGAAGGAATCCTCAGTTCCTTTTTGCCCACAGGAAATGGTCAGTCACGGTGTTTATGAAGCCAACCAAAGATTTCCTCGATGCCTTTCAATAGGCGGGCCATTACACAGGTGTTGGATCATCCAGTTCATAGGCCATCTGATGATAGGTTAGTTCAATCCAAATGTTCAAAGACTTTTTGCCCAGTGTACCCTTGTCCCCTAAAAGTAGGTGTTTATGAAGCCAACCAAAGATTTCCTCCATGCCTTTCAATAGGCAGGCCATTGCACAGGTGTTGGATCATCCAGTCCATAGGCCATCTGACAATAGGTTAGTTCAATCCACATGTTCAAAACTTTTTGCCCAGTGTACCCTTGTACCCTAAAAGTAGGACCTGATTCACACACACACACACACACACACACCTTAATCTTTTTCTCTCCTCCAAATATTTGCAAAACACACACACACACACACACAGACACACACACACACCCCTTAATCCTTTTCTCTCCTCCAAATATTTGCAAATCTTGGGTTTCTTCCAAATTTACCAAGACCTCCTTCTGATGGTTGGGTGTTGGCCTATGCAGAGAAAGCTACTCCTGGAAACCTGTAGGGAATCCCCTCCCTACTTTGATGTAATTACAGTGATGCCTCGCAAGACGAAAATAATTTGTTCTGTGAGTCGTTTCGTCTTGCGAAAATTTCATCTTGCGGCGGTTTCCCATAGGAATGCATTGAAATGTAATTAATGCATTCCTATTCGTCCTGCGAAGCACGGCCATAGAAAAATTTGTCTTGCAAGTCACCAAAAAAATCGCAAAACGCTTTTGTCTTGTGAGTTTTTCATTGTGCGAGGCATTCGTCTTGCGAGGCATCACTGTATATTTCTTTTATTGAGCAGAGGCCATAACTCTGTGGTGGAGCTCTTGTTTGGCTTGGTCCCCAGATGTCTCCAGATAGGGCTGGGGAACAGTCTTGCCTGCAGGGCCGCAGAATCGCTCCCAGAGTGGGCAAGACTGAGTTTTTTTCTGTGTTAATGCTCTGTCCCATCTTGGTTCCTGTCCAGCATGCTTTTCAGTAGGGCAAATAGCAAAGTCTTGAGATCCAATTGCTAGTCCCAACTAGAGTAGACCCACTGAATCATCAGGATTTGCATAAGTATCGACTTAAGCACCCAACAGTTGATTCAGTAGGTCTACTCTACTTGGGAGTCTCACTTGGATTTAGATCGTTGATGCTTGCTTAGCGGCTGATCTACTGTGTAAAGCTGGTGTATCCATAAGAGGGCAGCAGAGTGACACACATGGAAAGAACAGAGACGCAGAGAGGAGAATAGACAGTAAGTACTAAAAGAGTAACTACAGTTTAAGACTGCATTGCCTCTTGAGAAAGATCTTGGAATTGTAGATTTATGAAGGGATTGAGGCGAGAAGGCAAATTTTTAATTGATTCCCGGGATTCTTCAAGGCAAGCTATCACAGTTAAGTCAGAATAATGCTCCTCACAATGGGTTGTCGAGATGCGCCGTAATAACTTATAATTATTATAATGCCTAAAATTTGCTTCAGGTGCATTATCTGATTGTAATCTTTATAGCAATTCTGTAAAGGAATGAGTGCTTGGAAATGTTCGTGCTGACACATTTACATAAAATCATTAAGGGACATTAATTTGCTGACATAAAAATGATACAGAGAAATTAGGAAAGGAGAAATTAGTATATTCATCCTAGCATTAATTCTCATATTATTACTATGTTGTTAAAATGTTGGTTTTAAATTTTTTAAAAATCGATTAAAATTGCCAAGAGTAGCGCAGCTCCCTAATTGTGCTCTAAAAGCCACAAATTAAGTTTTGTTCATGCAAATCTACTTCATATGAAATCTTAACTGTTCCTGCATAAAATAAATGGAACGGGCTTTTAACAGTCTTCAATAAATAATTTTTAAATTTGTTCTCACCATTTTAATAGATTGAAGGTAACAAGTGGATGCTTCACAAATTGTTTCCAAGCCCTGAAGAGAAATCTCTTTGCTTCTCCCATGTATTTCAGAGTCAAGGCAGTGGGAGTGAGGCTAAGAAAGGGCAGCTCACCAAAGGCCCATCAATTGAGTTTGTGGAAGAGAAGAGATTCAAACTGCAGACTTCCTTATTTGCAGTAGGCTGTTCTAGCTGTCTTAATACCTGGTTTCCTTACACCTGCTCTTTCAGGAACTCAGTTTCTTGAAGCACCCATTTTCCTGTCTGTTTCAGGCATTATATTTCCAATCTACGTAGACTATCCGTTCTCCTGTTTGCTGCTTCCTTTGTCTACGTGTGTGTTTTGCAGCACCAGATATACATGGCCTCGCTGTTTCATCTCACTGGCAGGCACCACATGCATTGCCCATGTATTTGATCTGCTTGCTCTCCGTCTAAACTTGTGTTGAATTTAAACCTGTGCCCGTTATTGATTGCACCCAACAGGGTCATCTGCTTTAACCCCCACCTCCAATGAGAAGATTTTTCTCCATCTCCTAAACTATCGTTGATAGCTTCTGGGGTCCAGACTTCCGTACCCTGGAACTTGGAGGATACCACCGACCTTCCAGCCTGTTTTCCGTGCTTCCCAGCTCCCCTCCGAAAATTGGGGGGGGTTGTCCTAAAATGGCCAGCAACATCCTTTAGAGTTACCCCAGAGCATTTCTGGCAGATCACACACACCCCTCCCAAATTTCTTAGAGGGCACACAGTGCTGTCGTTGGCTATGAAGAGCCCCATAAGGGTCTTTGGAGGCCCGATGGGGGTCTGTGGGCTGCTATTGAGGTACCCCTGTCCCAAATGGACAGCCTGAGTCTGCGTGTGTGGCTGTTTCAGAGAGCCGGTTCGGTGCCTGCTTTAACGCCACACGCCGTCCCTGTTTCACCGATTTGGTTGCATTGAAAAAGAAAGAAGAAAAAAAGCAAGGCCTTTCAGAAGTCCTGTCACTAACTGGGGAAGGTCCAGGGGTGACCACCATTCATAGTTTCCTCTGAAGACTGTGCTTTTTTTATGTCCGTTCAGTCTTCAGCATCTTTGTATTCAGAGGATAAGATAAAAAGGTGATGCCTTCCTGACCGGGACAGTCTAGGAATGCTGTGGAATCGCTCATACAGGGCGAAATGAGACCAACCAATTCCACATGGTGTGAGACAGTTTTCTTTCCGTTCCTCCTTGGCTTGACAGAATCGGAGATGCAGTTGGCGGACGTCGTCCTGGACCTCCTCCATCTGGTCATGGCCGACCACTGGAGCTGGCTGTGCACCGAGAACATGCAGAAGGTTTTGCACCTGCTCTTTGGGACGCTGATCCAAAGGTGAGGAGAGGGAGGGGACCAACAAAAGCATACAATTAGATTCTCCCAAGAGGAGTTGGGCTTAAGGCTTTATAGTGAACAGATCTGCCCGTTTTAGGCTTTGAAAAAAGGACAACGACTCCTCAAACTCTGGATTTTTTCTGATGGCTGCAGCTCCAGGAGGTGTTTTTGCCCTCTCCTCCTCCTCCTCCACCTGTCCCTCTAGCAGACGGCCCCAAAGGACGCCCGTCTAGACGACAAAGACCTTGTCATCACGGTCTGGGTTCTTTGACTTCCCTCAGGCCAGGGTTGCCAAAAAGTGTCCCAAGGCCGAGGCGATGCTCACAGGCGCTGGCATGCTGGTTTCCTTTTTTAAGAAGAATTGGATCAGGAAGAAGAGAGGGTTGCATCGCTGAAGTGGGTTTTTTTTAAAAAAAGTGGAGTGACCCAACTGGAAACTGATACCAGGGAGAGAGAGAGAGAGCTGCTTAGAGGTACAAGGCCTGGAAGGGATGTCATCGTCTGCAAATATGCTGGATCCCAGTAAGCCTGAGATACTGCTGGTCATGAGGACTTAGGTGTCTTTTTTTAAGTGAAAATTGTCTGCCTTGCTTGGAATCCCAGCAGGGCTAAGTTACATACTAAATGTTCTGCGCAAGGTTCTAAGTCACGAGGAACGAACTGCTCGTTCAGCAGCAGACTGGCGTACCTCCAGGGGCTGGTCCTTTCTGTACCCTTCTTGAATGGGTCCCCTGCTCGGTGGAAACTGACTTTTCAAAATGTATTTTTTTTGTGTGTGGGGGGGGGGAGACACACACACAATGACTTTCGAACTGTCAACAAGTAACCGGGCTTGAAAAACAACCTGTTGCCGTTTCTCGCTGTCGTTACCATGTTGTTAAAAAAGAGTAATTTGTTATTTTCCCGATTGTATCGTTGGTTGCTTTTCATTGCTTCGATTCACTGATTTAAGAAAAAGAAGGTTAATACCGATAAGAGAGAACGACATGAAATCTGAAGAAGTCTTGCCAATGGCTGGAGTCCTGTTGCTTAGTAAGTTGCACTCGTGTCGGCCCATTGAATCCATGGAGATCTGGTGAGTCAGCTCCTCCGTAAGTTCATAAACAGCCTTCTATAACTTCAACTTACTATGCTAAGTAAGTTGCAACTTAGAGCTGGCCCATTGGAAGCAGTAGAACCTATGGGGTTCTTGGCTCACCAAATTCCCACTGATTCAGTTGGTCTATTCTAGTGTGGTTTACTGCTCTAAGCAACAAGATTTCAGCCAATAGGTCTCTATACCAATGTAGTAACTGTGTTCATTCCTCTTGTATTATGAAATGTAACTTCCTTATACCTCATTACTCAAGAAGTAATTAGTTATTAGTAATGTTACTAGTAAATAGTTGCTTCCAATCTCTGTGTTGGTCTTCTGTTGATATTAAATGGACTCTCACTGTTGGTTATTTCTGCCTCAATTAAAGAGCTAAGCATTACCTAGGCCTTTTCATGGTGCTTCATATCGTGAAATGTCAGCTATCCTTACTGTGGATTGCATGGATTTTATTTTTTTGGGGGGGGCATTTGCTTTACTATATTGTTGGAAACTGCTTTGAAGTTCTGAAATGATAAATAGCCATCAAATTACTGGAAATACATAATAACAAGACCAGACTTATTGAATCCGTGTGCTTTGCATGGATTTTGACTTAGGAGATAGCATTGATTTAGTGGGCCTCCTCTAATTGCATCGCTCTCTGGTCTCTACCAAATAATTAGGAGGGTCACCCTTTCAACCACTCCCCCATGACCCCGTTAACTGCAATCTGTAACAATCAAACCAGGCTCTGTCTAGGGGGAGAGCCATGCTGGAGTCTGCTTCTTCATCATGCTCCAGAAGCAATATTCAGTTGTTTATGATGATGATTTATAAACTGCCTGTGATGCTAGGGACACCGCAGTCATTAAGTTTCAAAGAAATGAGTGCAGCCCCCAGGTTTCTAATTTAAGGAGCAAAACGGAAGGGGGAGAAAGGGATTTTACAGAGGCTGGAAGATCGTAACAGTGCTTTGCAAGCAGTTGTGGAACTGTCAAACCAATGTACTGTCTTTTCAGCCATAGTCTGTAAGAAAGCTGTTTGCCTCTGAAAAGGGGCTGCACCTTTCTGACACCACCTTCTGCTGGCAAGCCAGAGCATCCTTCACTTGGCTCTGTGAACATCTTCGCTGCCTTCCTCCTCCTTTCCTGGGCGACGAGGATGGGGGAGTGGTGGGGTCTGTTCTAAATCTCTCCCAATGATCTGGTTCCATGGCAATGGCCAAGAGAGGGGAAAAAATGATGACCAAAAATGGTCTTGCGAAGGAAGGAAGGCGGTATGGCCCTCTCCCAAGCGAACTGGCCCGTCCAATTATGTAACAGAACGTGCTCCTTTTTTTGGTTTCTACGGAGGAGGGGGCGAGGAGGTTGGCCGGCCAAGAGGTGAGATCATCTGGAGCCCAAAAAAAGAGATGTCATCTTGGGTGGTCTCCTTGCTCGGTCTGTAAACAGACCTCCTTAGCCCAGCCTGGCCTGTTTAACTCCTGGTGCTCGCAAAGTGTTCGTCTTCAGGGCAGGTGGGGCTTGTGTCTGCGTGAGTGTGTGTATGTTGGTGCACACACAAAAGCAGGGCTTGCACATTGCAAGAAGACAACTGAAAGCGGAGAGAAGGAAAATGACTTCTCGTGCACACACCCTGTTGAAGCCTTTGCAGCACCTCCGTACGTTTTGTTTCAGAATCGTGAGACCCCGGAACAGCGCAGCCCTGACGGGGTGCTTGCTGTTGACTTAACAGCTGAGGCTGCTGGCGATCCTGCCTCTTGTGGGTCCACCCAGCCCTGACTCATATGCCTGCCCCTTCTTTGCCGGACTCCCCACCTTGCATCTGCTCACCTGGTTCCCAAGGTCTGCATTTTGCTCTCATTGCAAACTGACAGGATTTCAGGACTTGTACGTGTGAATGTGTCGATCGGCATCCTCCACTGAGTTTGGTGGGATAGCTCGGCGAGTTGGGTTTCTGGCTTGCAGAACGTTGGGAGTTCAATTCCTCACTGTGCCTCCTGTGAGTAGAGCCAGCCTGGGTAGCCTTGGCTAAGCTGCAGAGTCCCAGGATTGTCCCCAGAAGGAGGGAAGGGCAAACCACTTCTTCAGTACTCACCAGCTAGAAAAACATGGGGCAAACCACTTCTGAGTACTCACCAGCTAGAAAAACATGATTGCCGTAAATCAGAATTGACTCGATGACATGCAGTTGTTACAACATATTTCTCTTGGCATTGGTAAGAAGACCAAATCCTGGAGGGGGTGACTTTTTTTCATGTCAGAATTGACTCGATGACATGCAGTTGTTACAACATATTTCTCTTGGCATTGGTAAGAAGACCAAATCCTGGAGGGGGGGAAGTTTTAGACTTTTTCAATGAGGGGTGGGCAATTTGTGCCCCCCCCAATGATGCTGGACTATTGTTTCTAGTAATCCTCAACATCATGCCCAATGATGGAGGAGGCGGGAGTCGGAACCCGCCAACATCTGCAGAAAGGCATTTCACCCACACCTGTTTTGGACAGATCCATTTGCAAAGGCGGGACGAACAAAAATGTGTCCCAGCTATTCTTGGCTTTTGGTGCCATCAGGTGAGAGGGCGTTGAGCATCCCAGCTATCCTGATTGCTTTTCTTGTGCCTGTGAGTCAGCGGAGGGGTAAAAATATAGGCTTGGCAGCCGGATCTGCTCTGTGCCCTGCCCTTAAACTGTCCTGTTTGGCAGAGGGCACTACTATGTCACTGCTCATGCTTATCCTGCGGGTCTCTGGTCTCTCTTAGAGGAAAGAAGCATCCAGACTCAGAATTGACCCAACGGATGAACGTAGAGCTTGTCAAAGAAGGATGGGGCCAAGGTCGGCTTTCGAGCCTGATCCAGAGGCCACCTGATCTTCCCATCCGTAGGCTCCTCAGATGGACTTCTGGAGCTGACAGAATGGCCAACCAACTCAACATGATAAAATAGACAAGACGTGATTTGGAAGGAGGGGCCGCATGGGAATGAGGAAATGTGTGTGTCTGAGAAATACGACTCCAATTGGCAGAGCTGTTCTGAAGGCCAGAGATAGGGTTCGGAGATTAGAACAGGGGGGTTCAGCTTGTTCTTGGCAAGGTTCCCTCACGGTCCGAGGAGGCGACGGCTCTTGAGCGCTAAGGATTTAAAATAGACTTCCTGGAAGAATAACATCCAGACCAGCTGCAAGAAAGCTATTCATCCCATTTCTGGAGAGTTTGCTTGTAGTGTCGTTTACGACAATGCAGTTTTGGAGAACGGGGATGTGGTTTGGTGGAGAATGGCAAATGCATTGTCTGCAGAAGTTGCTTCCCTGCAGCTAATAGGATGGGAGGACATGTGGTGGGAAAGATGCCACTTGAGCTCCCGAGGAGCTGCTGGCAGTCAGAGTTGGTACTATGGAGCTCAGTGACCTGAAAGGATAATCTGGTAAAAGGCAACTTCTTGTATTCCTAATCAAAGTGGAATGGATGCTTGGAGGTGATGAAAAGTGGCCATCCACCACCAAACTGCACCCCCAGTCTCCAAAACTACATTGTTGTAGCCTCGTGGTCCTACTGAGCCTCATGGCACAGTGGTTAAACTTCAGTACTGCAGCTGAAATTCTGCTCATAGGTTCAATCCCAGGTAGCTGGCTCGAGGTTCAATCCCAGGCTCAAGGTTCACTCAGCGTTCCATCCTTCTGAGGTTGGTAAATTGAGTACCCACCTTGCTGGGGGGGAAGTAATGTGCCTGCATAATTAAATTATAACTCCCCCCGAGAGTGCTTCAAGTGGTATGGAGTGGTATATAAGCAACACATTTTTGTTTGTTTGTTTGTTTTGGCCATTCAACCTTCATACAACGTGGGCAGCCCTTGAGTTTTGTTTGTTTGTTTGTTTGTTTTGGCCATTCCACCTTCATACAACATGGGCAGCCCTTGAGCTAAATTC